AATTTCCCTTGTGAATTCTTCTTTGACCTATTGGTTGTTTAAGAATGTGTTTCTTAGTCAGGCACAGGTGGCTCACCCATGTAATTCTAGCTACTCAGGAGTCAGAGATCAGGAGGATCACCATTTGAAACCAGCCTGGGCAAACAGTTTGCAAGGCCTTATCTTGAAAAAACCCTTCAAAAAACAATAGTTTTGTGGCCATACTAGGGTGATACTTGTGTCTTAACACCAATTCTATCCTGGAGAATGCATCATATGCACTTGAAAAGACTGCATACTGCTGTTAGATAATGTGTGTTGTACATATGTCTGCTAGGTCTGTTTGGTTTAGTTTTGTTGAAGGCTCTATTTCCTTATTGAACTTCTGTCTAATGTTCTATTATTAAAGTGAGGTACTTTTATTATTATTGTAGTTGTTAGTAGAACTATCTATTTCTCCCCTCAATTCTGTCAATATTTGCTTCATATATTTTGGGCTTTTATTGTCTAGTTCCTGTATGTTTATAGTAAACTGTATCTTCTTGATGAGTTGATCCTTTTATCAATACATGATGATTTTTTGTCTCTTGTAACAATTGTTATTTAAGATCTATTTGCATGCAATATCTTTTTATCCTTTCATTTTCAATCTATGTCACAAAGACAAAGTAAGCCTCTTGGGACTGAGGATATAGCATGTGGAAGGCAGTGGATTCCATCCCCATCCCCACCAAAAATAAATGAATAAAGTAAGCAAGCCAACTAGCCAGCCAACTAGCCTACCTTCTATACACAACATATAGTTAGATCATGCTTTTTCTAAGCCATTTTACCAGTGCATGCATGTGTGTGTGTGTGCGTGCGTGCGTGTGTGCATGCATGTGCAGGTGCGGTATCATCAAAACCAGGGTCTTGCAATGCTAGGCAAGCACCCTACCACTTAGCTATATTTCCATTCCTTTTTGTGTCTTGCTATGTAACCCAGGCTGACCTGGAATTCATGATCCTTCTGCCTCAGCCTCCTGAGTACAGGGATTACAGGCTTGTACCACCATATCCAGCAATTTCTGTCTTTTAGTTTCTGTCCTAATCCAGTTTGCTGCTATAACAAAATAACTTAGACTGGATAACTTAACATAAACAACAGAAATTTATTGTTTACAGTTGTGGAGGCTGGAAGTTCCAAGATCAAAGCATAGATTCCATGTCTGATAAGGATCTTTTTCCTCATAGATGGATGTCTTTTCACTATAATTCCTTATGTGACAGAAGAGGTAAACAAATTCCCCTGAGCCTCCTTTATAAAGGCACTAATTCTATTGTGAGGGCTCCCCTATCAGGACCTAATCACCTCTTAAAGGCTGCACCTCTTCCTACTATTGCTTTGGAGATTAGGTTTCAACATAGGAATTTGGTGGAGAAAGGCATACAAAAATTCAGACCAAAGCAATGTTGAGGGTAGTTTGTTTACATTTAAAGTGATTATTCATAGAAAGCACTTTGTTCCTCACTTCCTCCAATCCTTTGTCATTATTATTATTGTTTCTGTAAGATTATCTTGAAAATCATATATTAAGAAAATATGAGCTGGGCCCTTGGTGGTCTACTCCTGTAATAATATCTATTTGGGAGGCTGAAATTGGGAGGATTGTGGTACAAAGCCAGCCCAGGTAAATAGTTAGTGAGACCCCATCTCTAAAATAACCAGAGCAAAGTGGACCAGAGGTGTGGTTTGAGGGGTAGATATCCGCTTTGCAAGTACAAAACCCTGAGTTCAAACTCCAGTCCCATCAAAAAATAAAAAAGAAAGTGTGTATAAAAACTACTTACCTTTGTCAGAACTTTGCACTATGTCATATAATTCTTAGATACAAGAAGCAGCATTTCTTTCTGTATAAAGGCACATGTTATATTAATTATGATCCTCTTGGTTGTGCATATCAGAAACCAAACTGAAGCTTAAGAAAAACAAAGGACTGGGGGTAATTTATGGCTTGGTAACTGGGAAAGCAAGACAGACCCAGGTTCAGGAGATGTGAAATGTCATTAGGACTCTCTTCTCCATTCCCTCAATTCTGCTTGACTAATGAAGTCTCTCTAGCAGAAGCAAGATACTCCCTGCAGTCTCAAGCTGCCACAATTTTTAAGTTTTTTATTTTCTTAACTTGCTAATTCATTTTCTATTGGGATATATGAGTTGTACAGGTAAGGGGTTTCATTGTGATATTTCCAATGTATTTTGATCATGTTCACCTGCTCTATCACTCCTACTTATCTCCTCTCCCCTTTTTCCTTCCACTTCCACCTTCCCAGTAATTCCCTTTCACTTTCATGACCTTGTTTGTTTTTCATTTTTTGTTTTTTTTTAATACTACTTTCCACAAAGAGAGAAAATATGTGATATTTGTTTTTGTGGAGTGGCTTACTTCATATAACATGACAATTTCCAGTTCCATCCATTTCCCACAAACAGCCAAATTTCATTCGCTTTTTATGGGTAACTAAAACAACAGTGTATATATACCAGATTTTCTTGAACCATTCATCCATTCATGGGCACCTAGGCCAATTGCATAGTTTGGCTATTGTGAATAGTGCAATAATGAACATGGGTGTACCGGTGAAAATGAGAGTATATCTTCCCTTACAATGCCAGAAAGTCTAGGGAAGTTACTAATTAATTTAATCTGGGCCACATTTCTCTCCCTGAACAATTACTTGGCCAGGTGGATGGAATACTTAGACGAGGTACATGTCACAAGCCCAACAGGGAAGAGGTCTGCCTTACTGAACCATCTATGCACTAAGTTCAGTTAATGTGGAACGAGAGGAGATAAGGTTTTCCAAAGAAAATGCTTCTAGATAAAAAATGTAAATGCTACCTACAAAGCTGCAAAGATTCAATGCCCTCTTTGTGGCTTTTTATCAAGAGGTAACTATTCAGGTTCTTTTTTTTTTTTTTTTTTTTTTTTGCAGTACCAGGGTTTGAACTCAGGGCCTACACCTTGAGCCCCTCCATGAGCCCTTTCCAGTGATGGTTTTTTTCGAGATAGGGTCTGCAAGCTATTTGCCCAGGCTGTCTTTGAACTTCAATTCTTCTAATCTCTGCCTCTTTTGAGTAGCTAGGATTACAGGCATGAGCCACCAGTGCCCAGCACTATTCAGGTTCTTGTGGCCTAAAGTGTGATCTTCCTATTGATGCTTCCCATGTACCTGAAATGACAGGTGTTCACCACTGTGCCTAGCTTTTATTGGTTGAAATGGGGTCTTGTGACACTACCCCTACCCCCACTGCCACTCCCACTTCTACCCCCTGGCTTCAAACCTGCTGAGATCCTCATAATATCCTCCCTAGTAGCTAGAATTACAGGCATGAGTCACCATGCCTGGCCACTAACATTTATTAGGCAAGGTACTGGAAATGTACATAGAAGTTGACAAGGTAGCCCTGGTCCCTGCATCACGGAGCTCTCTGACTAAGGGGACAGACTGCCTGGGTTGGAGTTGGGGAGATGAGCTGGAAGTTGGCAGACCTATTTGACTCTAAGGTACAGCCTAGATTTTATCAATAATAAAGGTGATTATATGAGTTTCTGTTTGCCTTTTTCTCTCATTTTGTTCACCATTCAGGCAGGGAAAACATGGCTGGCCTGGATTGGGCCTCTTCTACCCTCCACCAGAGGATTATGGGAGAGTGTACCTAGGTGTGATAGCCCAGTATTGAGCAGATGAGGGAGTGCTGAGGTTAGGCAGGAATTGGTGAGGTAATGGAATCATATATGTCTGGCTTTTTTCACTTAATGTTTTCATGGTCCACCATGTTGTAGCATGCAGTCTTTCATTCCTTTTTATGGCTGAATAATGTTCTACATTATGGATATGCCACAGTTTGTTATCCATTTGTCAGTTGATGGCATTCCAGTTGTTTCTGCCTTTCAGCTATTATAAATAGTGCTGCTGCTAACATTCACAGTCCAGTTTTTGTGTAGACATGTTTTCATTTCTCTTGGCTCTGAACCTAGGAGTGGAATTGGTGAAGTGATAGTGTGACTGTATGTTTAACTTTTTGAGGAGCTACCTGTTTTCCAAAGTAGTTGTACCATCTTACATTGCCACCAGCAATGTATGAGGGATCCAGTTTTGCCATATCCTTGCCAAGACTTGTTATCTTTTTAATTCCAGCCATCCTAATGGCTTTAAAATGGAACCTCCTTGTGGTGCTGATTTGAATTTCCCTTGTGACTAATGTGTAACATCTCTTCTGGTGCTTGAGGAACATTTATATATCTTCTTCCAGAAAGCGTGTATTCAAACTCTTGCATTTTTAATTGGATTTTCTTCTCATTATTACATTATAAGAGTTATCTGTATATTCTGATTATGAGACCCTTATCAGATAGATGAATTGCAAACATTTTCTCCCATTTTGTGGTAAATTTCTTGAAGTATGTTTTGTAGCCTGCTGGGCTACTGTGAGAACATATTTTAAAATCTTAAACTAGCCAGGTGCCAGTGTGATCCTAGCTACTCAGGAGGCAGAGATCAGGAGGATTGTGGTTCAAAGCCAGCCCAGGCAAATAGTTCTCAAGACCTTGTCTTGAAAAACCCATCACAAAAAAGGGCTGGTATAGTGGCTCAAGGTGTAGGCCCTGAGTTCAAACCCCTGTACTGAAAAAAAAAACCCAAAAACTGAAATAACAAAACCTTAAATTAGAAATATGTGATTGGTGCTTAAATTATACTTTTAAATGTAATAGCCATTATAATTTTATGAGCAAGCCCTTGATTTTATGCAGACATTTTGAGCCTTCCAAACTTAAGAGTCCTGAGTTCATTAAGGGACCATCATAGTGACAGCTATCACTTTTATAGCACTTATGTGCCAGGTGCTGTTTGGGCACTCTACATGTATTGACTCATTTACTTCTCATAACAACCCTATGATATCATGATACTCACTGTATAGATAAGGAAGAGGAAGTAGTAAAGTTGAACTTCACATTCCCTTGCTCTCAACCACTTGCTAGACTGCTAAAGTGGAATTAAAACACTTCAAAGAATGCCTGCCTCTTTGTTTTGAGAGTATCAATAGTGTTTTCATGGTGTCTGCACTGTGGAAATTTTTCCTCTCCTTACCCAGGAACTAGAGCCATGCATCTTCATGGCACCCCAGTGCTCCCAGTCCCAAGCCCACTAGGCTTTTAATGTGCTTGGAAGTGACTGAGAAGCCCCTATATTCCCCAGGGGTAGATTTCTGGTGTCCGGTGAGCGCCCACAACCCAGTGGGCTCCCAGCTGAGCGGGGGGCGGAGCCAGCGGAGGGGCGGAAGCCTCCCAGCAGGCCGTGCCTGCGGGGTGTGGAGCCGGCGGGATGCCCCTAGTGGAGCCATGAGCTGGACCTGCCCGCGTTGCCAGCAACCTGTTTACTTTGGTAAGGCTGGAGATGAGGGGGCAAAGATGGGGAGAGTGCGAACCATGGGGTTCCATGGGGATGGCCATGGTGCGGTCCCAGGCACCTTTTTCCACCTGTAGGGATGTGTGTGTGGTCCCCTCCCCTTCTCTGAGAGCTAAGGAAGAGTGGCATCGTGGAAGGATGGAGCTGGACTGCTGCAGACATTCTTCGTTGTCTCCAGGAAGCAGGGCTGGAGGGGCTGGTTCCCTTGATTCCTTCAGAGGGCTGAAAGGGTGAAAGGAGGGCGTCTGGTGTTTGGCCCCGCTTCTTGCAGCCTGGTTCTATCTTGTTCCCCACAGCTGAGAAAGTGAGCTCCCTCGGCAAAAACTGGCACCGCTTCTGCCTGAAATGTGAGCGCTGCCACTGCGTCTTGTCCCCTGGCGGGCATGCAGAGGTAAGTCCTGAACAGAGCCCACAACCCTTTGTTGTTTCCCGCCCCCAATTTCAAGCCTTGGAAGCTTGCCAAAGGCAACCTCAGGGCCACCCACCCAGTGGGCCTCATACCCACCAGGATTTGGGGAGCCTCAGTTGTGCCCCCATGGCTTGGGAGAGAAGGTAAGCAGCATAGTCATTCCTCTCCCATCCCCACCTGCTCCCCCATCCCCCACCCCCAGACCACATTGGCAATTCTGGTGTGCCAGCCTGTCACCCACCCCTCCCATCCCCACTAGATCAGGCCAGTGGACAGACATACCTGGCATCCCATCTTGGGAAAGACCTGTGAGGCATGGCCCCCTTATCCCTGAGTGACCTCCCCCCCCCCATTATACACAGCATAATGGAAGGCCATACTGTCACAAGCCATGCTATGGGGCTCTCTTTGGACCCAGAGGTAAGTACCCTGCTAGAAGGGACCACAGAACCCTCACTGTGGCTGGGAAGAAGGGGCTCAAGCCTGGCCTCCCCTATCGGTTATTGTCTCTGCAGGAGTCAACATTGGTGGTGTGGGCTGCTATCTCTACAACCCCCCCACTCCCTCCCCTGCCAGCAGTACACTCCTCAGCCCCAGCAACTTCAGCCCCCCCAGGCCAAGGACTGGCCTTCCCCATGGCAAGAAAAGTAAGTGAGGCTGGGCCTCAACAGTTCTGCTCCTCTTCCCATTCTTCCTCAGGCTGCAGCAGAAAAGCTGGGCCAGAGTTTCAGTCTTCTACCCAGCCCTCTGCTCTACAGTCCTACAGCTTAGTTCTTGGCAAAGTCCTCTCTATTTATGGCCCCTTTTTTGAAACTCCCTCATGTCAGCGATTGAGTTTAAGAGGTAAACTGGGTAGATGGTATTATGATGTTTATTTAACATGTGGGGGCATCTGAGGTCCAGAAGGGACACATGACCTTATGTAGTCACAGCAAAGCTGGCCTGGAACTCAGCTCGCTTCCCCCCAGCCAAGGCAATGGAAGGAAAGACCTCAAGTGAGGGATCATTGGGATGGGATCAAGCCATCAGATTCTTCAACTTATTTCCTCTGGTCTCTCTTCCTTCCTCCCACCCCTTGGAGTGGGCACTGACACCTGACACCCCTGCCCTAGCCAGCTCCTATATCAGCTCAAGTTTCTGAGGATTGAGTTGCTGACAGGGTCGGAGTGGGGGTTGAGGGGCTACCTGAGCATCTGGGAGGATGACAAAGGAAGCAGGTTGTCTCTAATGAGATAGGGATGGGGCGAGAGTTGGGGTCAGAGGGTGATCTGCTCTGGGCTCAGGGAAGGCATACACATGGCTGCCTGGGTGGGGGGCTCTGGGATGCGTATGGGTTTTAGAAGAGGATGGTGCCATGTGCAAGCAGGTGCTGGTGGGTCCTGCTTAGGCTCTGGCACCACCACAGCCCTAGCTGGGGCCTCTTCCCCTTAAAGGCCCTCCCCACTTGAAGACATTCACTGGGGAGACCTCGCTGTGCCCTGGCTGTGGGGAGCCTGTTTATTTTGGTAAGTGACAATTGACAGCTGAGGGAGAGAAACACTGGGAGGACAGTAAGGGATAGGGAGGTGGTCCAAGGCAGGTGGGTCTCCCTGCCCTGCTCTGCCCTTAGAATGGAAGATCTGGCACTTCTTTCCACCACCAGCTGAGAAGGTGATGTCTTTGGGCAGAAATTGGCACCGACCCTGCCTGAGGTGCCAGCGTTGCAGGAAGACCCTGACTGCTGGGAGTCATGCTGAGGTGAGCAGGGCAGGGATAGTGGTTATGTTGGGAGGAGGGAGACTAGGGATGAGAAGAGAGCCAGGCTGAGAAGACTGTCTTTCTCTCTGTTCCAGCATGATGGTGTCCCCTACTGCCACATCCCTTGCTACGGCTACCTGTTTGGTCCCAAAGGTGGGCAGCCCCACCCCAGACACCAGGCCTAAAGTATGGCATGTACATGGTCATTGCGGTTGTGTGAACAACTTCTCTTAGGGTCAAACATGTCCCAGGATTCTCCCAATTCCCTCCAGCCCTCAACCCAACACCCTCCCCTCCCCAGCCCCAAGGCCCTTAGTGATAGTGCTCTCTCCCTCAGGGGTGAACATTGGCGATGTGGGCTGCTACATCTATGATCCAGTGGAGATAAAGTCCAAATGAGCCGCTCTGGAGAGAGGTCACCCTACCTCAAAAGCTTCCCACCACCCCTCCCTGGTCCAAAAAGAGCTACAGAATTCTCCAGTCCCTTGGGGATGGGAAGAGGTGGGGTCCTGGAGGCCTGGGCCTAGGCTGCATGGTAGACCAGAGAGTCTAGACTTTCTCTGCCAATTCTTCCCTTTTCACACTCTTATCTGGATAGGGGACATAGGCTACCTCACTTTGGTGGCCTCCTGGCTTTCCCAGCAAATTTTAGAGCTTCAGGGTACTCTTGTTTACTGAGCCTCAGCATCTCTGGCTTATCTAATAAAATGTTGGCTCCCATGCTTTCAACTCTTCTTTATGTGTGAGCCTGGACAGTGGGTTGTGGTGGGACAAGGGCAGTGGGGCGTGTGGAGGAAAGAGATGGGAGTCCTGAGAGTGCCTCAGAGGTAGCAGCATGAGCCATGGTGCCAAAAAGCTCTGTTCTCTTGGTCCCCTGGTCAGCCCTTAGCACTGCACAGTGGACAACATGTTCACCAGCGTCATTGGTACCCAAAGTCATCATAGGACAGCCCCTTCTTAGCACCTCATTCACTTTGAGCATGACAACAGGTTTTACAGGAAGGTCTGCTGAGAGGCTTCATTATCCATTTGGGAGATGAACAGGCTGAGGCCCAGAGAGGAAAAGCCACATGCCCAAGGTCACACAGAAAATCTGTGACAAGCCTTAAATCAGAACCCAGGGCAAATTCAGTGGCCTCCCATCCAGGATTCTTCCCCAAATCTCCTCACCTTAATTTATAAAAATCCCACCAATCACGAAAGGGGTGCCCAGAATCCCCAGCAGCCCACTGCATTTTGGGAGATGTCCTGTCACTGGAGGCTGAATAGTCAGGCTGGATGACTGCAGCCAAGGGCACTAGTGGAACTCAAGCCCTAGGCAGTGGGGTGCAATACCACAGCCCGCCACTAGAGTCTGCCCTCTGCGCTCTCAACTCCTGCCACAGAGCTTCTGTGGAGGGCTGTCCCCAGTTCCACTCAGTTCTGGATCTGCATCTCTTCTTCCTGAAGACTGGGGAAGACATTGAGAAGGAAGGAGTTGGGAGCGATGGTGGGGTTTCGTCCTGGAGCCTGCCGCTCCATCAGGGCTGGCCCACAGCCCCTCCCAGCTCCTGGTATACAAACACACATCCCTGATGTGTAGGCATGGCTGACTGTGCATGTGTGCACCTTTTTCTGAACAACCTTGGCTATTTGTATGCACAGATATGTATGGACTCATGTACACTTTTATGCACAGTTAACATACCCCAGAGCATGCACCCTGAAACACCTATGCACACATGTATATGTGCCAAGTGCATTTGTGCAGCTGTATCTTCCCTTCTGCATCCTAAGGTGTCAGGGACCTGAGCACCTGCTCCCCCCATACATATACACTGTCCGCTCATTCTCTCTCTCTCTCTCTCTCTCTCTCTCTCTCTCACACACACACACATACACACATACACACACACATACACACACACAGAATCCTGTGCACACACCTTTTTCTTTCCACATCCTGGATTGTCTCTGGAAGCTTGGCCTTCCTTGTCTCTGGCAGCAGGAGGGCGGTGCAGGCAGCCAGAATGGCGACCCCCCCATAAGCAAGCATGGGCAGCAACAGCCACACTCCATCCAGCAAGGCTGCCAGTGGGGCCAAAGAGCCTCCCAGCCGGCCTACCAGGGCAGTCATCCCCATCCCTGTCTGTCTGTTCAAAGAGAGGATGAGGGGTGTAACTGGTTCTCATGCCTACTTGGAGCCAGTCCTTGTAAGGCCCCTTTCCTGGGCTGGGAGGCCCTGCCAATCCCTTTCCCGACAACTAAGAAAGCTTGGGCCTCTCCCCCATCCCCCAGGCCAGGAGTCCCCAAGCCAGCACCCACCAGAGGATCAGGAGTGTATTCTGACAGCGTACCAATCAGGTACCACTAAAAGAAAAGTTACCAGACAAGAAGAGAGGGTAGTGTGGAAAGAAGAGGGTCAGCAGCTTGCACGGGTGCTGCCATGTTGCTAGAGGCCCAATTCTTTCTAAACCAGATGCTAATCATAGAAGGCTCCTCTCAACAAGTCCCCTCCTTCCCTGCCAGTGGCTAGTTGAAAGGACTCCTGGCCTTGTGTCCAGGGAAAGCCCCAGTGGCAGCTCTGAATGAGTGGGCTGGATAGGGCTTCCTGGGACTGTTTTCTTCTAAAGGAGGTCCAGAGAGGTTGTCTGACTTGGTTAAGGTCATACAGTACTGAATATAAAATGCCCCGCCCTCTCCAAAACTTGAGGGGTTCTGTGTTCTGGGTGTGGTGGAAAGACAGGGGAGGGCAGTCTGTGTACAAGGAAGTGTGGGTTAACCAGCCCCTCCCCCAGGTGGGTTGCCTGGGACCCAGGTCCCTTTACCTAAGCACAGTAGGGTACAACTCTGAAGTGAAGAGGTAGGCAGTGGTGAAGGCAGCTTCAGAAAAACCTTTCCCTATCACCGCCAGGGCGGTGGTCCAGGACCTGGTCTCTGAAGGGAAAGGGGTTCCAGCAGTGAGGTGGGGTAGTCAAGAGTTCCCTGGATGCCAGGCAGAGTCTGGGCCCGGGGAGGGCGGGACTTCTTGCAAGGAGGCGGGGTCTCGGCGCGGGCAGGGCCCGCGGGCTCACCGGTGGACACCAGCAGTCTGATGGCGAAGGTCAGGGCCCTGCCCAGCAGCATTCCCGCCTGCGTGAGGCGGCGTCCGGTGTGGCGCACCGACAGGTAGACCAAGAGCTTGGAAGGCAGCTCCACAGCCCCAAACAGCAGCTGCGTCTGGTACACGTTCAGCCCCAGCCCGGACAAGTCCAGGGTCAGGCCATAATAGGAGAAGTTCACTCCAAACCTGAACGGAGTCGTAGTGCCACTCAGGGGCCTCTTTCTCATCCCACTTTGTCCTCACTTCTCAGGAAGACTGGCCCCCCCCACTTCAGAGCCCGCTGCCTAGGACCTTTCCTGCCACCACAATTCCTGAGTGTGTATCATGTACCAGTGGCTAAAGCACCTTTACTCCCATCGTCACAGTAACCTGTGACATAGGAACTAATGCTACCCATTTCACAAAAGGAACACTGAGGCTCAGAGTGACTGAGTGAGTGGTGAAAGGTCACATGGGAAGGAGATGGCAGAGGCTGAATTTGAACCCATGCATTTCTGCCGCCTACTCCATCTTCTGACCTTCCCCAGCCAGATCACCCCCCCCCATAATAGGGACTCTTGTCACTCACTCTTCTCACTCCTCTTCAGCACCACCCTGGAGTCGTCCCCTCTCACTACCCGACTCCACCAGACCCAAGTCAGCTCCTCCTTACCACACCACCATGCAGCTCAGTGAGATGTTTCGGAGCTGTGGTGTTCGGAACAGGTCTAGGTATGAGGGCCTTTGGACCACCTGTTCACCAGCAGCCACTTTGTTTAGGGCCTGATAGGGGAGGAGATGAGGTTGTGACATCAGAGTTGGTCTCAGCAGGGCCCATTGAGTGCTAAGGTTCTCCCCCTCCCTCTCTCTCTCTCTCTCTTGCCTCTCCTCTCCCTCTCCCTCTCCTTCTCTCTCTCCCTCTCATTTCTATTCCTCTCCTTTGCAGTGATGGGAGTGGAGGTACACATGGGAGCTGAGAAGGTGGCCCTTGAGAGTGAAAGATGTGACCCACCAAAACCAAGAACGGCTCTGTTTGAACTCCCCACCAGTGGTCAAGGGCTTTTCCTGCCACATATGGTGAGCCCAAGGGCACTTGGCACAGCCCCCACCACCACCCCCACACACACATTCACCCACCTCCTGACTGAGGCTGTTCTCACCCAAGGGCCGCCCATTGAGCCTGGCACAGCGGAACAAGTACATTTGGGCCTCCTTCACACGGCCCTGGGTCAGAAGCCAGCGTGCAGATTCAGGTACCCACCTAGGGGAGTCAGGAGACCCTTCAGCAGAGAAAGTCAGCACCGTAAGCAACCTCTCCCTCCTGGGCTCATCACAGGCTGTCAACCTCCAGACTCTTGCTCAGTCAGTCCTCTTTGCCTGGAGTGTCATCTCCTCCCCAAGGCCTTCTTAAACCTTCCATTGATGAGGTCTTACTGATCTTCTAAGGTCCAATTTAAGAGCCATCTTTTCCCATATTTCCCTGCTCAGGTTTGCATCTCCCAGGGTTTCCTTCCTTACTCAACTAAGTTGATGTTACCCTCAAAACCTTATCTCCCAGCACCAGCCAAACACTTCTCACAGGAGGGCCCAGTATGAAGGAGTGACAGATGTAGTGACACACACAGAAAGGTCATCCAAAGCCAGTTAGTCCATCTTTGGGAGGCAATGAAATGCTCACCCTGTCTGGCCTCCCACCCTCCTGCCTGAGCCCCTATCACCATTCTGGCTCTGCCCAATCCCTACCCCTCTGAGGTCCAGCCTCAGCCTCTTCTTGGCACTGTCTCACTGAGAGCTCTCCTGTCTCTCACTGACTCTGCTTTCCCTCACTGTGTCTGTCTCCATCTGTCCCTTTCAGTTCTGGTCTCTGTCCCTCACTATCTCTCACTAGTTTGATTTCTGTTTCTTCATTTTTGTCGCTCTGTGTCTTGTTCTCTGACTCTCCTGTGCCATCTTCTTTCTGTTGGTCTCTGTTTCCGTCTCTTTCTCTCGGTATCTCTTTCTGTTGCTTGGTCCTGGGCTCTCCCTTTCTCTTCATCCCTCCAGTCTCTCTGCCTTTGAACCTTAGCCTCTGATTGATTCTAACTTTGACTTCGTGTATCTCCCACTTCCCAGCTCCCTGCAGTCCTCACCAGAGGCTGAGGATGCCTGGGACACAAGGCAGGGTGACAGACAGCAAAAGCCATCGCCAGTCCCGTATCAGGTATCCAACCAGTGCCAGCAACATCACACCTCCTGTCCAGGACATGGTGCTCAGGACACCAGCCACCGTGCGGTGCTCCACATCCAGCCATTCCAACTCTAGGCCCAGGACCAGGCCGGAGACCGGAAGAGAGTTAGCAAGAGCCAGATGGACCATCTCACCCTGGCAAAAGCCTCCCTCCAGCCCTCTAGCCCTGTCTGTCCCTTGAGTGCCTTACCCAGTGGCATCACAATGATGGTGAAACCGGACAAGGCTAAGCCCATAAGGGTGCAGGTGATGGCAAACATGACATAGTTGACCGAGGCTGCAGACGCCAGGCCCAGCACCAGTGAGCTCACATAGGCCACCAGAAGTAGCCGGCGTCGTCCGAACCTACAAAGGCTCCTACAGAATCAGCTTCTTGGGGAGCTTCTAAGACACAGGTAGATTCACCCCAACCCCCAGATGATGGGACAGGGTGGACAACCTGCTCCCTTATTCACCCCATGCCTCACTCCACCTGTCAGACAGATATCCGAAGAGCACAGCCCCCACCAGCACACCAGCAAAGAAGAAAGTGGATGTAATTCTGTTCAGGCCTTTCTGCTCCCACACCAGATCCCACTGCAAGGACAGGAAGTCAGGGGCCTCCTATGGGTGAAAGTCCCTCGCCAGGGAGCACCAGCCCCTCCTCTCTAGACCCTGGGACCTTTTCAGGACAACTGTGTTACCCCGCCTCCAGCTGTTCACCCCCGCATCAGAAGTCCTGCTCCTCAACTTCTTCCCATGGAGGTTCTTGACCATGACCTGGGAGTCCTGCCATCCCCAGGGAAACTGCCTCACCCACACTCCCTCTGCAGATGGATTACATACACCTCAGACCTGGGGCCAGAAAAGAGGATGGGAGACTGGGAGAAAGGAGGCTTCTGTAGGTTCTCGACTCTCACTATAGAAACACACTTCTCAGCTCTAGGGAGTGGGAATGAGCTCCCACTCTCCAGAGTCACCTTAGCCCTTCCCTGCCGTCATCACCTCCCAGTGGCTCCTGCCTATGGAGTCCCTCATTACAGGCCATTAATTAAATTCTGTGATTTATATTCATAGACCCTGTGTCCAGATGGGTAAAGGGATTTATCTAAGGCTCACACAGCCACCACCCAAGGCCCTCCCTCATCCTCTGGGCCTGGGTACCTCAGTTGCAATGGTGGAGGAGAATTCAGAGCGGTCGTATTCCCAGCCCTGGGAGCAGGGCACTGTAGTGGTTTCGCCTTTCGATTTCAACTCCCCAGGGTTCTGTGCCTCTCTCCCCACGGTGGTGTTGGGGAGAGCCCCAGGGTGAGCAAAGCGGAGGCAGGAGCTAAAGGTGCCATCAGGCTCCCGGGGAAGGTGGGCCTCCAGCCACTCATCCTGGTGGCTGAAATTGGCAGGGGTGCCAGGCAGGGCACAGTGGTGGGCAGGCACGACAGCCAGAAAAATGGGCAGGAGGAAATGCATGGGCAGCAGCAGTCGGGGAAGAGCCAGTAGGACCAGATTCCGCAGTTGGAAGGGCCCGAAGCCACCCACCTGGTACAGCAGCTCCTCAAAGCCCATGCTGCCCACCCACCAGCTGTCCCTCTGTAGTACCTAACACAGCTCAACCTGCTCCACCACATGGACCCTTGGACTCTGGAGGTGGGAGTGGGTGGACTGATGAGTGGAGAGCCTGCAGTCAATATCCAGCCCTCAGGGGCTGGCCCAGGCCTGGGCCTTCCCCAGCCACTCACATCTCCAGGGATCTTGTCTGTCTGGCCTAGTGCCTGCCAGGAGGGGCTGCCATCCATTTAGAGGTCACTGACTCTGTGGCTCTGGCACTTAGACATTGGAACTCAGAGAGCAAGTAGGGGAGCCATGAGCCTCTACGATAAGGTTGCTGGGTATGTTGGAGGTGAGTTCCTAGTCCTTCGGTCAGCAGAGCTCCAAGGGTCCCTAAAAATAAGGTCACTAGAGCATGGTACCAACTCTCCTGGATGCCCTTTGTCCTGATGCGTTAGGCTAGCCTTGTCTATTTATAGTCACAGCCACAGTCTGGCCTTCAGCCCAGAATTCAGGACTGAAGGTTGGGCCCTTCCAGGTTAAGGATTCTTTCTGCTGAGCCACAAGCCTTCCTTGTATCCCTTGCCCATGCCTGGAGCTGATGCTCTTGCCTAAATCTCACTTGACCCATAGTGGCTCTCTGGGGGTCCTGCACTCATGGAGTCTTCATGTGGGATCCCTGCCCATCTGTGTGATCCCTCTTGCCACCCATCTGCCTATTTTCAGGAGTTTCCCAGATGACCTCTTGGAGGGATGGGAAGCAAAAGGGTTTACCCAGGTCCTACCAGAGGTACCTGCAGTGCCTGAGACCCAGGATTTGATCCATCTGATTGTCCCCTCAATTTTCATTCATGGCTCCTGTAGAAAAAGCAGGGCAGAAGCCAGAAATGTCAAATTTATTCTTCAAACACCAGGCTGGCAGATCCAGGAGGTTGTCAAATTGTGTTACAAGGAGCTTCAGATTTCTAAATAAATGACTTTCCAAAGGTGTTCTTGGAGAAAAAGCGTAGGCTAAAAAAAAGTTTGAAAACCACTAATTTACTCTAATAGATAAGGAAACCAAGGGCAGAGTGAGGAGGACCTGCTGGGGTCACACAATGACTGAACAGCAGAGTTGATGGAAGGAAGGACCAGGATCCCTGACTGCAGCCCAGGGCTCTCATCTTTGCCTCAAGGCGCTGACTGGAAATGCCGCAGTCTGTTCTAGGCTAGGCCTCTGGAGAAAAGTTGGAGAAAGGCACTAATGGACTGTGCATGGTATGTGTCCATAGTGGTGCTGCCAGGCACGGGGTGAAGGCAGTGATGGGGAGGCAAGAGAAAGATGGCGGAGATAGTGTGTCTGAGGTGACAATAGTATGTTTGTTAAGCTCTAGGATGCCTAGACATCTGTCGGGTACAAGGTTGCCTGGATCACAGTTCCTTCCCTTAGGGAGCTTACAGGAAGGTTAAAATAAGTTACACAAACCTCCCCACCTCCAGTCCCACCGCTGGCAATCCATTCCCATATCCGGCCACAATGCATGGCTAAAAGCACAGATCTGCCTAGCATGCCTGAAGCCCTGGGCTTGACTCCCAGCACCACAAATAATAATAATAAATAAAACACAAATCTGATAGTGTCACATCCCTATTGAAAATCTTCCCCATCTCCCACTGCTGCAGGGTGACAGTCCAGTTCCTTAGCTTGGCTCATGTGACCCCTCAAAAGCAGCTCCTCTCCCCCAGCTCATCCTTGACCCCTCCCCAATAAGATGCCTTCCCTCTAGTGACCTCTGGCTTCTCACACTTTGGTATGGTTCCTTGGGCCACACTGGCCTCTTCCTTCTTCACTGGTGGATACCCAAGCCCCTTGGAGACCAGCTTGAGGAGACACCTCCTGTCCCTTACACTGTTGGTGCCTCTCTCATTTAATTCTGTATAATACTATTATTTATATAAAATACTATACCCTTTGCAATTCCTGACAGGTAAGTTTTGTGGCCACATCATCTCCATGGCTCATCCAGGGGCTACACAGGATTAGTCTGAGGGTTTTCCAGAGCTACACAGAACAGTTCATGAGGCCAACCCCAGGCCATTGAATCTGTACCAGTTTACATAGTAGACTTTCTCTCCTGCTTTAACATCAGAAATGGCTGAAAATTATTCAGAGGATACTTCTCCCTCTCTACATGGGCTTCTAGGAAGCATAGATCGAAATCTGCAGCCCTTTTGGCACCAATTGTACCCCTGGCTTCTTCTTATTCCCTGATGTCACCCCATATTTCACCTGTCCTCTGACATCATTGAGGAATGATGGTGACAGTGATCATGACATTTGGAGACAAATAATGGAGCTAGACAGGTAGGAATGAAAAACTAAGTCCAGCCCGTAGGCAAATAGGCTCTAAACAACAAGGGAAGAGCTAGTTGTATAAAAGGATTTTTTTTTTGTGGGACTGAGGTTTTTGAACTCAGGGCCTGATACTTGCTAGGCAGATGCTCTTCTGCTTGAGTCATACCTCCAGTCCTGCTCTGGCTATTTTGGAGATGGGGGGGTCTCATGAACTATTTTCTCAAGTTGGGCTTAAACTGTAATCCTCCCAATCTCAGCCTCCCAAGTAGCTAGTAGTATAGGTGAGAGCCACCAGCACCCAGCTTGATTGATTTTTGTCCATTCCCCCACCACCTCCAACCTGGGAATCCAAACTTGAGCTCAGAGGTTAAGGTAGAGGCCTTTATGTATAGCAAACAGGATGGGGGAAAGCCCTGTGGACTGGAAACCTAACTCCTTAATCAAAATTATTTCTAGACTTGGTGGGGGATTTGGGGAAGAATAAGTTCCTGGGATAGACAGTTTTCAACTTGGGATTGCTTACTATGCTATATTTTAGGCCTTTGATGCTTTTACTCTTCTCCTCCACTGCATGACCTCAGGTGGTCTCCCCCTGTCAGTTGGCCCATCAATAACCATTAACCATTGCTGCAACCAATGCAGTCATTCCTACAATGATGATGGTGGTCATGACAGAATCAGTTGCAGGGGAGAGTGTGGTTATAGTGGTGATGGTAGTGATGTGGTGATCTGGTGTAGATGTGGTGATGGTGGTGGTGAAGGAAGTGATAGTGATATGTAAGCTCCCTGAGAGCAAAAACCTTGCCTCTTGTTTATCATTGTCATCAGAACTTGGTAGTGATGATGGGTGACAGTTTGAGAGAAGAGTGTTTGTGACCTGAGTGGTGATGGTGCTAGTTATGGTGGGTAATAGAGCCTGATGAGTGGTGAAGACAGAGGTGGTGATTGTGGTGAAGCTGGTGTTTTAACGTGGTGTTTCATCACTGTGGGTGTAATGGTACACAGGTGAGTTGGAATATAAAAGATGCCACCACAAGCTGCTGAAAATGGGCCATGGCCAAACTCCTGGAGCTGTGCAGATTGTCCTCCCTATCACCTCATTTCCTTGGGGGAATGGCTAGGCTCCTGCAACTGCTGAGAACTTAGAGAGGACACCCTGGTCCTCCTGCAGCCTCAGGTTGGTTTCGGCTCCGGTCCTGGCCTTGATGTAAGAAGCAACAGGAAATCCCAGCAGGCCCCAGCGTCTGATGACCAGGGACATTCCCACTCCAGTCTCTTTTCTCAGGGTGTCCCCTAGAGGCTCTTCTACTAACAGAAGCTAACAATGTCCCTGGCCTCATGGCCCCCATCTAGACACTAATGAGTGACCTTGCTCAGGCCACCATTTCTCTGGGCCCCTGTCCTCGGACCTATCTTTGGCTACAGGACAGAGGAAACAAACGTCCTTTTGGGGGAGAGTGAGGAGAATGGTGTGTCGGGGGCTGAGCAGGTCCTCACCACTGGGGCATCAAATTGTCCCTGGCAGCCAAGTGGGGCCTTGGGAAGTGAGTGTGCTGGCAGGTGTCAGGCTCCTGGGGTGAGGAGATGGGCAGAGGGTCTCAGCATCTTCCTGCCGCCATCTTCCCTGGCATAGCCTAACCCTCTCCAGGCTTGGTCCTCCTCCCTCTTCACTCCCCTTTCCATTCCTGAGTCAAATCTGTGACCCACACTCAGACCTCTACCCTCTGCACGGACTGTCCTCTCCTTTCCAGATGCTTGACTCCTGTTGCCCTTCACAATTCAGTCTGAGAGGCATGTCCACAGGGCGTCTTCCTCCATGTGCCCAGTTCAGTGCACGGGGCGTCTTCCTCCATGTGCCCAGTTCAGTGCATGGGGCGTCTTCCATGTGCCCAGGCTGGATTGGGAGCAACTCCCCAAGCTTCAAGCATCAAAGCACATGCCGCATGGTTAAGTGAAGGTACGCTGTGTTCTGTCTCGGTGCCTTAATGGGGCTCCACGACTGGCAGAGCCTTGGGTGCAAGTGGGGCTCATGAAATAGCCTACGGAATGAGTTGAGAAAATGAATTATTTGAGTGAATAACTAATCCACAGCATTCCTTTCATTCACTCCCAATAATAAGAAAAAATTGAAAAAATAGAATAAGATACCATTTTCCATCTATTTGATTATTCTGGGGATTTGCTCCTAGAATTAGACTTGCAGAAATAAGAAAGAGTTGCAACCAAGATGCTCGTTTTGAAAAAAACAGTTCATGTTTGAAATCGTGAAAATTAGAAATAGTCCAGTGAATTAAATAGATTTCGGAAATCCATGTCATGGTATATTACACAGCTATTAAACAGAACACAAAGATCTTCGTTATTGCTTGTGTGAATGTAAAATGTTGCAACCATTTTGGAAAAGTTTGGTAATTCCTTGAAAAGTTAAACATAGAGTTACCACATGGCCTAACAATTCCACTCCTAGGTATATTATATTCAAGAGAAATAAAACTTACACATGAATATTCATGGCAGCATCATTCATAATAGCCTAAAACAGGAACAACCCAAGGTCCAACAGCTGAGGAACGGATAAACAAAATGTGATATAGCCATGCAGTAGAATATTATTTAGCAATAAAAAAGGAACAAAGTACTGATAAATGGTATAATGTGGACATGCCTCAAAAATGTATGGTAAGTGAAGGGAGGCAGTCACAAAAAGATCCTACATCATATGAGTTCATTTCCGAGTGAATTTCCAAAACAGGCAGATCTATAGACCAAAAGTGGACTCGTGATTGCCTAGAGTTGTAAGGTTGGGGGGAAATGGGGATGTCTGCACAGCTAGGGAATCTTTTGGGGATGATGGAAATGTTCCAAAATTTATGGTGGTGATTGTTACACAACTATTTTAGGCAAGTACTCTATTATTTGAGCCATGCCCCCAGTTCCAAAGTCCCATGTGAGATGAGGACAATTTGTATTTCAAGACATCATTAGGTATAAAAATCACATTTCCGAATAGTAGGTATAATATGCTCCTGTTTTTATTGGTAAGAAATTATATAGATATATATAGACAGAAAGAGTTAAGTATTACTATAAACATGAAAAAGATCTGTAATGATACATACCAGGCTGTTCACAAGAGTTACCTCGAGATGGTCAGATGCGTTAACAGGGGCTTTCATGTTTTATTTTATATGCTGTTAGCAGTGACTACAAGTGTGCCCTGCCTTGAACATTTTAAACAAGGAAGGTGAAAGCACATGGGCCCCACAGGAGGCTTTCAGGCCCCCTGGCATCCAAGTCGGAGGAAGAGGTTCCAGGAGGCCCAGGTGGCTCTGGACATTGGACAGAATGTCCTCCTCAGAGGGAGAGCAGGGCTTCCAAGCCTGGGCCTCTTTGTGCCCCAACCCCCTCGGTGTGGCCTAGAGCCAGGCTTGGGACAGAAATTGCTTATGTGTTCACTAGATGGAAGATTTACTCCTAGCAAACTTAGGGTTCAAACTGCAAAAGTGCCCCCCCACTCCAGCACAGCCTTCCTCCACCAGCCCTGCCCTCTGTGGGACTGACCACTCGTCCACCTGCCTTTCCACTCCAAGAGTTCACAAGGCTGGTTTTTCTTAGTCTTGGAGACTGGCCCTAAGTGTATACAAAGAGCTGCCTCCTCCATTCCAGAGTCACACAGTACCCCACGATTGTGCTCTCCATCCTATGCGTGGGCCACGCTCTACTGACCAACCCCACTAACGGACATTTACATTGCTTCTGAACACCTACTTTTGTACGTCCACAGTCTCCTATCCAAACCACTGAGATCACAGATGATTGATGAGAGATGAGAGATAGACAGATGGATAGATAGATGACAGATAGATGATAGAGGAAAGTAGTATTTTGGTGCATATTTCATATACTATGAAATACCCTAGTAGGATCTAGAGCAGTGTTTTATAATAAAAACATTAACACTTTCACTGAGCTGGGTGTGGTAGCCCTGCCTGTAATCCCAGCTCTTGAAAGCTGGAGGCAAGAGGATTATGAGTTTGAGGCCATTCTGGGCCACAAAGCCAGACCCTACTTCAAATGTATGATAAGTAGAATTAATGAAGATTATAAATGGTCTTGTTAGATTTTGATACCAAATGAGTTTGCAGCAACCTAATGAGAAAACTGCCTATTTTCAGAACCTTTGCGTTTCAGATTTACAGAGAGGCTTTGGGAGCACTCTAAAGGTGGCGATGGATGACACGTGATTTGGTGAGTGTACAAGTGCATCCATAGGATACATTTCTAGAAGTGGAGATGCTGTGTACAGCTCGTGGTCTGGACAGGTTTTGCTAGAATAACCTCGCCTGGGAACTGCTCTAAGCACTCTCGCTTTTGTCCGGGCAATGAAAAGTCTTTCTTTCTTCCTCTCTCTCTCTCTGCACTAAGCAAAGAGACAACCCAGGGCCTGAGAGAGAACAAGCTTTGCTATCAGAGGAATAGCACGACAGTCTCCTTCCACCTGTGTGACCTGAGCAAGCCACCTGTACCCAACCTGAGCTTCAGTTTCCCCCTCTGTGGATACAATGCCTCCTCCAGGAGTCTCTGCCCTCTTGCCCACTATCCTATGCTCTTCTCTTCTGCCCACTCCCACCCTCAAGGGCTAGCTTTTGCCCTGCCCTCCCTATAGGGAAGAAAAGTCCAGGCCAACAGAAAGGAAGGTTCACAGGCTTTTTAATGGTGTGATGACTACTTCCCTTCTGAGACCCGATCTAATCGTGACAGCGGCTTCCAGGGTATTGGGAGGGGGTGGACAGGACAGGCGCAGGGCGGGCAGAGGCCGTGCAATGACTGGGAAGTGTGGGGGGTGTTACATTCTGTTTGGCATGTAAACATTCTTCAGTGGCTTCCTAGGGAGGGGGAGGACAACTCCCTGCCCCCCCCACGCCTAAGGGGCTGCTCCTCAGAGCTGAGAAGACTGAGCACGCCGGGGCCCTGCAAGGAACTGGGAAGCAGGGAGCCCATGTTCTTGGGGTACGGCCTTTCTGCACCCCTCTGCACGTCGTGCAGCTGGGGAAGGGAGTGTTCTGAGCTGAGCACATCCTGCATCTGAGCTAGTGACATGGGGCTGTCATGATGGGGAGGTGTGGGGAAGGGGGGATGGCAGTGTGACACTCTCTTATAGAGGAGAGGCTCAGGACCTAGATGGATGCTCCAGGAAGAAGAGGCTGTGGCGGGGAGGGGGGGTGACACTGGGAGATGTGGTTTCCTCTGCCTTGGATCCTCTCTGGGGAGAGGAGCAGACTCAGTCCCCTAGCTGCCCCCCTCCACTGGTCCTCTATTCCTCCCTCCCCTCCCTCCTCCCCTGGTGACATTCAATGACTCAGAGGCCTGAGATCAGTTGGGAGCCCTAACAACGTGTGGAATCCCAAGGGTGGACTGGGTTTTGTGTCTCTGCCAACTCCAGCGCTGGATGAAGCTAGAGGTGGGATGGGCCTGGGGCTATCTCAGGCCCCCCTGACCCTCCCAACTCCAAGCCAGGGTCTTGTTGGTTCTAGGGTAGAGGTGAGGCTGGGGGCCGTACATTCACGGTTCGGTTGGTGGCAAGGAATAGGCCCAGGGCCTGGGTACCAGAGGTCATGCCTTGGTCCCCACCTGGCATGAGCTGATTGTCATTCAGAGAAGCTCTAGGTGGGAGGGAGCGGCCCCTCCTTCACCCCTCTGCTGGACCAAGAGGGCAGTAGAGGGCTTTGGGAGGGCCTCAGGTTGACAAGGAGGACTGTGTCCAAAGAAGTTTCCTGAGTGTTCTTGGGAGCTTCTGCATCAGCGTGGGATGGACCTCGAAGGCTGGACACCCTGGTGTCTTTCCTTGGGCTGGTCTGCAGAGAAGCTGCCCTCTTGGCATGGGAGCAGCTGCCCAAGCCTGCTGACTCCATGAGGAGTGCAGCTGGCACCACCAAGCTGCTCCCGGGCCAGCTTCGTCATGGGCATCCTTCTGGGTGATGATGGATGGATGTGGCCAGACCACTGGGCACACTGAGACCTGCCTTCCTCTTCCCCGGATGTCTTGGTTTGCTCTCTGTGATTCAGGGAAGGACAGAGGGGCCAGGCCAGGAAACAGAGGCTGAGGATGGAGGGCGCCTGCAGGGGCCCTGTCTCAGGTAGGTGGGGTTGGCTGTCCCTTCTGCAGCCAGCATGCTGCTTGCCCCAGATGTAGGCGGTAGGCTCTTGATGAGGTGCGGTGAGCTATGTAGGAGCCAGAAAACAGGAGGCCCCATATCCGTCATGGAGCATGGACCGTATGGCTGGGCTCTGGGCAAGAGGGAGGAGGCTGGAGGGCAAGCTGAGTCAGGAGTGGACGTGGACTAGAACCTATCACACAGCCTACAATCTGGAAGTGAGAAGGGCCTTTCTGCCTCCAGGGGCTGCCTGTCAAGTGGCCAGTTCCTGCTCCTGTGCTCACTGTGGGGGAGTTTGCCTTCACAGTGCACTCCCCACAGCAAAGAGAATGGAGACATCACAACTGAGTCCCTGAACCGCCAGCACAGAGAAAGTGACAAGCAACCGCTCTCCATGTGCATGGAACTCAGGAGAGAAGGGAATTGGCTGAAACCATAGGCAGGATTCAGGTTAGATGACAGGAAGGAATTCCTGATGGTAAGCGGTCGGGACCACTGGACCAGGGAGAGAGTGAAACCTTTTTAAAGCCCCCTTCCAAATTTCCATTGCCCAGGAAGGCAGCCCACACACTTCCAGCAGGTGCACACTGAGGCCCCACCCAAATTCAGAGGGTCTCTGTGCCCACTGCCTCCCACCTGTGTGCCCAGGATGGAGCTGATATTGGGGCAGGTCAGAGCTGTCCCCTCACACCTGAGTAGACCAATGGCCTCTGAGTCCCACCTTCCCAACCTCAGCCTGGCAGCTGAGAGGACTTCCCTGGCCACCAGGGATTGCAGGAGACTGTGGGAAGGCTGGAACCTCCACTTTTGGAATTTGAGGCTGCTTCTTCCACAAAGGGGACAGGGGCAGGTTAGAAGAGGGTTGGGAGGAGAGCAAGACGGGCCGTAGGAGGTGTAAGCAGAGAGCCTTGGGGGGCCGAGGAGCGCAGCCAAGGCCTGGTGGGTGAAAGGTGGTCCGCAGAAATGGAGTCCTGGGTGAAAAGTGGCTGAGCCTCCCCGGGGCGAAGGGGTCTTGTGAGCCATGTCCCGCAGAGGGATGGCAGCAGGAGGGGAGGGCGTAGAGAGGAAGGGAAGGCAGACCCTCCCGGGTCAGCGGCCTGGCAGGTGCAGGCGGGAAGCTGGGGCCGCGGTGGCGCGCTGCGGGCGCGTAAGGCTGTGCTGGGAGCTTTTCCAGAGTGGCCGGCTGCGGGTGGGGGCCGGGGCGAGGGTGGGGGGCCGCAGAGAGCCGCGGGCGTCATTATCTGGTCCCGGCCCGGCCTTCTGAGGCCCCCGCCCGGCCTTTGGTTGCTGCGCGCTGAGTCTGGAGTTTCCTTCTGGGTCCTTTCTTGGGGCCACCTGAGGCGGGGGTGCCCTCAGGCTGGGCTCGTGCCTGCAGGACCCCCCGAGGTGGGGGACCCCCAGGTCGGGCTTGGTGCGAGGGGGAGGGGCTCTCTTTGCGGGACAGGGACTGGCTTCTGGGGGACGCGCTGGGACGGCGCGCCGAGGAGGCGGGGAGGCCGGGACTGCGGGGCGCCGCGGGCCTGGTGGCTTGGGCTCGCCCTGGGCCAGGGCCAGGGCCACGGCTGGCGAGCTGTTTGGGGCGGAGGTCAGCAGCAGTGGCCGACTCTGAGGGCTTCTGCAGCTGGAGCCTGCGGAGGAGCAGAGGGCAAAGAAACAAAAAGGAGAGACATTTTCAGAATCCTGGGCACTGACCCTCAGCCAATGAGACTGAAGAGAACAAGCACGGGGTAAACTGAGGCCTGGCGCTCCCACCTTTAGGAACCACACACTTCCACTTCCAGTCTGCTGCTGGAGGAGCCTGCTGCAGCTTTCCCTGAGGGCCCTGTTTCCTCTTTAAACTTCTCGTGAATTCTCTAATCTATAATATTCCTGTGTTCACATGAAATACTGTTTTCTCCCAACTATTGAAAGCTCTGGGCTTTATCCTTTGGCTTCAAATGCACCATGGGACACCAGCGGCTGTGTGGGGCCCCACTCGTCCCCGCGACCTTCTCCAAGCCTGGTCCCCTGGCATCCTCTCCAGTCATTCCCTTGAGTGACAAGGCTGAGACCTGAATCAAAATGGAGACAGAGCCCAGCTGGGAGATGGGAGACAACAGATACAGTAGAGGGTCCCTCCTCAATTTTCCGTGGATGCTGGTGTAGGCCTCTGTGGTCACCCTCTGCTCACCTGGGGCTGGCAGGGGTTTCTCACCTGCTGGTGATGGCTGTGTCAGATGCTGGGGCCGCGCCGTGGGGTCTGCTGGGGGTCTGCTGGGCCTCGGCAGGCGTGGGCACGCGGGTGCTGATAGGCCGGGGAATCCGACTCCGGGAGGCAGCTGCCCGCCCTGCCTTCCTGGGCAAGGACACCGCGGGCTCCGAGGCAGGGGTGTCCTCCTCGGAACCCGTGCCTGAGAGCGTCTCGGAGGCACGGCGCTGCTCCTCACTGGAGGAGGATGAGGCCAGTCGCAACAGCAGGCGACCCTGCCTCTTCTCCATCACCAGCCTTGCCAGGTCCTGCTGTGGCCGGCCCTCTTGCTCCACCGCTCTTTGGCTGACAGCGAGCCCGAGGGCTCTGAGCCTGTGTCTTCCTCAGACAGCAGAACAGGGATACGGCTCCTGGGACGAGGGCCTGGCATGGCATGGCGGCTGGGAGAGATGGCGGTCCCTTTCTTGGGGCCTGACTCCAGTGGGGATGCTGGGGCCAGCCCATCGGCAAGGGCTGGGCCATTGGGCAGTAAGTCTGTGACTACCTCTGAGGGGGTTTCCCTGGGGGGACCAGACAGGGCACAGCTCTCTATCTCAGCCCTAGCCAGCCCTGGCAGGGCCATGCCATTCTCCAAAGGTGCCGGGACCCCCTCCCCAGGTGCCCCTCAGAGGACACCTCTAGCCCCAGCTCGCCCCCAGTGCTGAACTCCTCAGGCCTTGAGGCCTGTCCTCCGGAAGACATGACGTTGAGGTGGGTTTTCTCCGCAATGTGCACAAAGGTCCTCTCGACTTTGGTGAAGGGTGAGGAGGCAACCGCCACGCCCCCTGCCCCAGTGGGCACTACCCCGGCCCCCAGCCCTGCCCCAGGCCCAGGGGGCTTGGGCTCAGACTTGAGGACAGAGGACAGGGTGCCTGGCTCTGATACGTCCAGTTGGCTGCCAGTGGGCTGGGGTCTCTCGTGCTGAGGGGTGAGGGCAGCCAGGGTGCCCAGGTCGGGGTCAGGGGCCAATTCGGCAGTGACAGGCGACTTCTTCATGTCACCAGGGGAGACGAGCACCAACGTTTTGGAGCCCTCCTCAGGCTCCAGGTCCCCATCGGCCATGGAGGCCCGGCCCCTGGACTCCTTCTGATCGTCAGCCAGCAGTGTTGAAGGGGCGCCCTCCTGGCTCCTGTCAGTGCTCCTCTCACTGCCCTCACTGCTAGAGCCACTGTGAGGCCCCAGTACCTCCCGCAGTGCTCCTGCCTCCTCCTCCTCCACCTCCTCCTCCTCCTCCTCCTCTTCTTCTTCTTCCTCCTCCTCTTCCTCCTCCTCCTCTTCCTCTTCTTCTTCCTCCTCTTCCTCCTCCTCCTCTTCTTCCTCATCTTGTTCCTCCTCCTCCTCTTCCTCCTTCCCATTAGCCTGGGGCTGAATTGGAGCCAGCGGGGTCTGATGGGTTGTGAGCAGCATGTGCGAGAAACCCACCCTCCGGACCCTGTGCAGAAGCCTTGCCCGCTCTCGATAATCGGAGAGGTCTCTCTTGAAGTCCTGGTAGGGCAAACTCAGAGGCACAGCTCGTGGGAGGCCATTCACCTCAAACGGGGATGCCACAGAGAACACCTGCAAGGGGCACACACAGGGACCCGCTGAGGTCACCCACCCTCCTGGGCCAGGGAAGTCCTCAACTGCTCCCCCAGGCTAGGAAACCCCCATCTATGAAGGTGGGCACCCGTCCTGTTTCATTCAGTGCTGTATCCTCAGAGCCTAGGATGGTCTCTGGCTCCTGGGAAGTATTCAGTAAACCTCTAATGAATAAGTGTGTCCAAGCTCCTGGTCCCCTGAGGTCCCAAGCTCTGATCCTGAGCCTGATCCTGGTGGCTTTTCTGTCTCCCTGCCCTCTCCATTTAACCTGCCCCTTCCCTCACCATGATCATCCTGACCCCACAGCCAACCTTAGAGTTTAATCTAAGGATAGCAGAAAATCATCACCGTTTAGGTCAGCCCTCCCCTTTCCAGGTAAGGAACCCAGGCAGAGGGTCTGTGCGACTTCCCACAGGTGGCTAGCCTGCTCTATCCCTCATGGGGTGCAGTTCCTCTGGGCTACCAGAACCTATGCTGGACAATAGTGAGGTTAGGGCTCTGTCACTGTAAAAGTGCGGGCTGGGCCCCTGGAGCACCAACCTTCCTTCCTGCCCTGGTCTCACCTGTCAGCCAGGATTTTGTCCAGCTCTTGCCCACAGACTTAAGCTCAATTAACTTTGTCCCTTGTGCAGAGTCCTTGGCAATATGACAATGTCTACATCTCTTTCTGGTTTTAGATTTCCTGCCACATCCTTCATTTCCTCTGCCCTTCCTGACTAGGAAGACCTGACCATCTTGTCAGGAGCAGCTGTGTCTCTTTCACTTTGGTCCCTCCTCTGGCTCTGCTCTGTTTAATCCATAAACATCCCAAGGCACCCACAATGCACCAGGCTGACACAGCTCTGTTCTGCAGTGGGATGGTGCTAACATTGCCTCACACTTTGTTAGCCTTTGTGTACACACTGGGCCTCTGTCTTCCTGAATTAACAACACAACCCATCCAGACCAGAAGCCCTGGGGATACTGATCAGCACGGGAGTTTTGACCTGCTCCGTTTCCGACCTGGGCCAGTTCACCCCTCCTTAGGCAACCTGGTGGTCCCCCGCTCCCGGGAGGTCACCATATTGATGCCGAACTTAGTGCAGACACCCGATCGGCATAGCGCACTGCAGCCCAGAACTCCTGGACTCAAGCGATCCTCCTGCCTCAGCCTCCCGAGTAGCTAGGACTACAGGCGTGCGCCACCGCGCCCGGCGCCCTGGGGATACTTTGACACCTCCAACACCTGCTCGCCTATCCACGGCCTCACTAACCATCTCTGTGCTCCCCAGCCCATTGGCACAGCCTCATCCAGCCTGGTAGTCCCCCAGCCACTGGCCTGCTCTCTCCATTCTGCATTGCCATTCATCCTTCTTCCTGAGACTTAGGTCTGATTCCATCTCTCTCTGGCCCCCACACCTCATCCTTCCTTGGCTTGGTACATAAGCAGTCCCCACCCCCACTCACATCTGGCTCTTACCTTCTGCCTCTGCCTCACTTACTGCTGTACCCCCCTACCCAGTGTCCCAGCCATTCTGATGCCACCAGCACTTTCCTGGGGGCATCATGCCTCTCACACTTTGCCCAGGCAGTTTATTTGCCTGGGGTCCCCCTCATGCCCTCTATTCACATGACAAATTCCAACTCTCCTCCAACAGCTCCTCTTCTGCAAAATCTTCCTGCCCACCCACCAAGCAGACTTCGTTAATCCATCCCTTCTCCTTGTTTGCCTGCATCCTTCTATTCTATGTGCCTGTGTTTATATAGTTCTCTCTCCTGTAAACACAGCCCCTGGAAGGATTTTTCATTCACTCATTCAAGTATTCCTTCAATGTCTGCTGTCCTGATTGCCATGTTATAGGCTGGGAATCTGTGCTGAACAAGGTAGCCATGGTCTTTGTTTTCGTGGAATATGCCATGTATATATTAGAAAAATAAATGGAAGCCTATAATCTCAGCTACTCAGGAGGCAGAGATCAGGAGGATTGTGGTTTGAAGCCAGTACGGGCAAATAGTTTGTGAGACCCTAATCTCAAAAATACCAAACACAAAAAAAGGGGCTGTCAGAATGGCTCAATAGATAAAGCGTCTGGCTAGCAAGCGTGAAGCCCTGAGTTCAAATCCCAGTCCTGCCAAAAGAAAAAAAGAAAAAGAAATGGAGATAATGCACACTCCACAAAGATCTTGATCATAAATGAGGTGGTGTAAACAATGTCCTGCAGATAGCTCAATGAGTTTGAACGCCCTCCCGCATCTCCTTCCTTCTTTCTGCTCTGCTCACCCTGGTTTGGAGATCACTGCACCCTCCCCAGAAAATCCTGTGCACCACACCTTTGTGGTGGGCAAAGGAGCCCCTTGCAGGCTGAGGCTTCAGCGTAAAGAGCACAGAGGTTGGTGAGGAGGGAATCTCCAAGGCTGAACATCAGTCAAGACTGTGACTTCTCCCTCCCCAACTGCCACCATCTTCCTTATAATGCACCATCTGTGAGGACTTGACAGCGGAGGGAGCCTAATGCCAGACAGGGTATCCTGAGAGCCAACAGGACCCCAGAACACCCTGATGGGTCAGGCTGGAGCTCCCTTAGAACTTGGTGCTCTCTACCTCCAGCCTGGAGGTTCTGCCATTGTTTTTTCCACCCTAGCCATTCATTCTTTTTCACTCATTTGTTCATTAGCAAACTCTGTGCCAAGCCTTGGGTTGGAGCGCTTTGTTACGCCCACTTACCAATGTTACAGCCAGAGAAAATGGCTGGCAGAGGTAGAAGACACTGCCACCTTAAGCTTCTGGGTGAATGGGGGCCATAGGTAATGACACTGAGAGCCAGGGACAAATAGGCACAGAACTCTGATCATGCGTCTGTCCTGCCCAGCCCCCCACCTGGCACCAGACATCACCCAGCAGGGATGCCCTCAGACCTCGCTAGACCACACTTTCTCTTATAGAACCTCTGCCTATTTTCCCTGTCCCTTCTCTGATATCAAGGACATTTGTGTTAAACCACCCTTTCCCCTGCCATCTTGCCAGGTCCTAGATCTCTCTGGAAAAGCCCCATCCAGAGGATGAGAATGTGGGGTTGGGAACAACACACACACATACACACACACAGAGAGAGAGAGAGAGAGAGAGGGAGAGAGAAAGAGAGAGGCAGTGCCCACATTGGATGGTCATAGGTGGAAAGCTCTCTCTTTATATCTCAGGTTCCTTGCCTCCTTTTACTTGGTAGAGGAGGAATGCGAACCAAAATCAGTCCTCAGTCATAACATCAGCCTGGGATACTGAGGCCTGGAAGAAACACTGACTTAGGCATTAGTCCAGAACTCTTCCCAGTGTCTCACTGACCTCCACTCCCTATCCCATGCAGAGGAACCAGGGACTCTGGGAAGAAGGGCTCTGAATCTCCCAGTGGACATAGCTCTGCCGTAGGATCACCAGCATAAGCAGGCAGGGTTTTCCGTCTCTCATCTGGCTCCATGCAGAGAGGGGCAGAGCCTACTTCCTCAGATAGCAGCTTAGACCTCTCCCTGCCTCCCTTGGATGCCGCCCACTTGATCTTGTCTCCTTTCATGGCCAGCCATAATGGGACACCCTCTGTGTTCTTGACCCTAGAGGCCTGAGGACACTGTGGGAAGGGCACTGCAGTGACCCCGCCCCACCCTAGCTGGGAGAGAAGCTGCTGGGCTGTGTGCCAGTAAAGGACAGTGAGGGATGGTGGATCTCACACCTTCTTGCTTTCTTGCAGAGGGAGGCTTGGGGGGTGAGGCCTTTATCATTCTAATTTGCTTATTTTAAGCTCCCAGGCCTGGCTTGGCCCAGCATTTGGGGTGTGTGGATTACCTAAGACTGCAGAGCTCAGATCTTATCCTCTTGGTCTGTAAATCAGAAATAAAGCCCAGACAGCTGACTTTTTTTTTTTTTTTTCCAGTCCTGGAGCTTGAACTCAGGGCCTACACCTTGAACCACTCCACCAGCCTAGGTGGGCCTAGTGCCCACCTCCCATGGTCCCCGGCTTTTTGAGAAAAACCCAGACTGGCTTCAAACCGTGATCCTCCTGATTTCTGCCTCCTGAGTAGCTAGGATTGCAGGTGTGAGCACCTACACCTGTCTCTGTTTTAAAAGCTCTCTGGTGATTCAGACAGAGTTTGGTGAAAGACAGAGGTTGTAAGAGTTAGATCACGGGGTGGGGGTGGGAGAAGGACATTCAAGCTGAGACCCTCAGAAGGAAGGAAGGTCCCAGCCCTCCCAGGCCTCCCAGCCCTCTACTAAGTCCCATCCAGAGGGCTGAGGCTGGAATTCCAGCCTCAGTGTCCAGCCCAAGTCCAGTCTCAGCAGCAAAAATGAAGGAAAGGGAAAGGCCAACCCTGGTCTTCCCTTGCCACCAACCAAGCTGGGCTGGGGGAATTTCTGTGATACTGACACTGGGGACAGACTACTCCCATCCCCAATGCTCACAGGGAGCAGGGCTTGATTATCTTGCTTGGACCCTAGCCAAGCCCAGATACCTGGAAATACACATCAGCTCAAAGTCCCAGGTCCAGAGGGTTAGGAAGCTGGAATGGGTGAGTGACAAAAGCAGGAGGGTGAGCTGGCACCCCTCACCTCCCTATTGACCTGGAGGAGGACTTTGTGCCTTCACCACAGCTCCCCCTTCCTTCTCCCCTTTGGGAACTGCCTAGTGCCCACCTCCCATGGTCCCTGCTCTGCCCTGGAAGACAAAACTCCCAAGAAACCCCCCTCCCCCAACTATGCCTCTCTGCCCAGCCTGAGAGGAGAGATGTGGATCAAGTAGCCTCTGGCAGCTCTGCCACCACCGCTGCCTGTTCCAGAGGCTGCTCCAGTCTCCCTGCCTCCTTGACATTCAGCACATCTCTGCCAAGCCAAGAGCCCTCCCTCTGCTCTGCAGCCCACCCTGAATGGAGCCATCCAGGACTCTGGGCACTCTGGCCAGGGAAGAGGAAGGTGGGAAAGTGGGCTGTCTCTACTGGGTCTACAAAGACCTCCA